TATCTTTTCTGTGTTAAGATTTAAAGTCCCTCTTTGCTTTGCACTGAGCATGTCCCATGTTCCTATCTGAACATACTGCAACCTTCCATTAATTTTTTGAATATTCTCGATAATATAATGGGGTTCCTTTGGGTCACCTTGTCCATCAAAGGCCACAGACCTGCTGAAAATTCCAGTGAAGTTCACTCTGGGTATTTCAGCAAGCAACTCTTTTGGGCTGAATGGAAAACAAATAGTATTGTTATAACTACTTGTTTGATACCCACATTTCTTTGTCAACATGGCCTGTATACTGTGAGAAACTGCAAACACTGCATCATATAAATTTCCATAACCTCCACTGTTATCGGCTAGCATCTCTTCACTAATGCTGCTTGGAGTTTGACCAGGGCATGATGCTACTTGGTTTATAAAATGACAGTTGTATTGTTGTTTCAAGTACAAGGCCAGCCAAGGGTTACATTCTGCTTCATTACTGATCTTGCTTTCAAGATATCGCTCAAGAGTTGGTATTTTCACTTTCTCAGTTGCAACTGTCATGATACCAGATAAACACTGTTCACTAACATTCAGGGAAGGTCCAGTAGCAGACCAGGCATCACTTGTCAGCCACACTCTGTGAATATTATTTTTCTCTGCTTCCTGTAGAATCATTTCACCCATTGAGGTGTATGTAAACAAAATAACAAGCTTTGCTTTTGGTAATGCTTTTAATTGACTCACAATCTCATCAACTTTTGGTCTCATTTTATCTTTTGTATTAGGAACATACGCATCATATGCAATGCAGACATTTCGGCTTGCTGCTGCCTCTTTTAATGCTGAAATACCTAATTTACCATAGTCATCATCACTACCAATTGCAACCAAATAATTCCATCCAAATTTCTTCATCATGTCCAGCATAACAAGCACTTGATTTGAATCTGAAGGTATTGTTCGAAAAAAAGACTTATACAACTCACGCTTGTTTAAGAGTCTGCTGGAAGCTTGGTAGCTGATATGTGGAATGTTGTAGAGTCCCATTAAACTTGCTAGAGGAATCGTGAGAAATGAGTACCCTGGCCCAACCACAGCATTGATCGATTTGACACCTTGCCCAGTTTTATTTGACTTACAGTCAATAAAGTCTGCCCTACAAACAGAATTAGGCCGGTACATTGAAACAATTTCGATACCTCTTTTCATGACTTTTGGGATGTCTGTACAGCCATCGTCAATCTGATAGCCAAGTTTGAAACCAGGCAGGATGTTGGAACGCGAAATGTGCTCAATAGCCAGTTGCATCACAACAACATTGACAACGCCTTCTCTGGACATTGTTCCACAGTCCGGTCCTTTCGTTTGAGAGAAAATTCCTTGCAGCATAAAATCTCCATCTTGTATGATCGTGCGACGATTCTGTCCGTTTGTCTGCGAAACAAACAAGGAATTATTGCAAAATGCAGACTCGACGTAACTGCCTGAGTGCCATTGCGTGAATATAAACGATGTCAAGAAGATCAGGCCAGCTGCCTCAAACATCTTCGTTTGATTTCATAATAAGATCCAGTGTGTACAACGTTTGAATGTAACGTAAAGATACAATCTTAAACTCAACTATAACGTTTTCGCCAAGGCCCGTTCGTCACTTCCTGCTAGCGTTTGAAGTTGCACCTGCGACTTTCGATTGTTGACTTTTGAGGCATGGCAGGACACACACCAGAAACCTGTCATGATTACTCCTGCGCAGCGATAGCAATATCGCAGTGGCTAAAAATTATCTCTCATTGATCGCTAAGGGTCTTTATTCAATAATATGTACAATCCTTGCCAAAAGTCTTGGTACACCAAGCTAAAATTTCGCATAAATTCAGTAGCATCCCCCTCTCCCCCTTGAAACAATGTTGAATAACAACAGTTTCAAAGCTTGAAATTCGTCCAATGTCAGTTTATCAGCTAGGGTAAGTAATAGTCTTTTCAGCCAACATTGTTTTTGGGGGGAGGGGGGATATATCTGTATCTTACAGCCGGAAACCTTTATTTCTTCAAAATCTTTCATTGGTCACAGGGTGTTCCAAGGACTTTTGTCAAGGATAGCAGTGCATTTGAGATCAAGCAATTAGTTCCAATCTGAGGTTTTCCATGCCGCTGATTTCAGTGGTGGTGTTTTTTTTTCAATATCTAGTCCACTTCATAACATAATTGTCTATCTACTCTAAAAATATTGGTTTCATACGTAAAATAAAGCAAAATTAGAAATTATTTGTATTCTGAAAATTTGTTGCATCTACCTAAAGAAGGGAGGTCACTTTTTGAAACCGAGGCCAATTTGGTTGACGGTTGAGGGAGTAAAAGTTGAAATTCTTTAATTATGATTACATATGTCTTCAGATAGTCAAAATGGCTAACTCCAGTAGCAACGCAGATCCTCAAAAAATTGGGGGCAGAGACGTAAGAAAAGTTTATCTGATAACATACAGTAGCGCTAACTCTGAAGTTTATGATAGAGAAAAATTCTCTGATATGATCGTGAAATGTTTTGAGGCAGTAACGACAGCAAAAATTTCCCAATGGGCATGTTGCATGGAGCAGCACAAAGTAAACGGCTACCATTTCCACATGTGCATTTTGTTGGACAAATTACAGAGATGGCTAAAAGTGAAAAATTATGTCCAACAAAAGTATGGTATTGTCATTAATTTTTCTGGTCACACAGGCTATCATACAGCATTCAATTATGTTGTCAAGGAGGAAAGTAGTTTCATTACCAGCAGCAATCACCCTGAAACTGTTTCTTCTCCAAAAACGAGCAAGGCAACAAGGAAAAAAGCTGCAAAAAACCCTTCAAAGGAAAAGAAGCTGAAGTCAAAGCGTCTTTCAAACTTTGATGTCGCCAATATTATAGTTGAAAATAAGCTGCGATCGCGTTTAGATGTTCTTGTTCGGGCTAAGTCCAGTTTTGAAAAGGGTGACAGAAGGTTGTACGAGTTTGTCCTGAACAGAGGCGATAAAAAGCTGAATGATCTTCTGGACACCGTATGGGAGTTGGAGACTGCCAAGGAGAAGCAAGAAAGGGCTTCTATGTCTAGAATAGACATCCTTAAGGAGCAGCTTAGCGTTGGGTGCACCTGTGAAGGCCAGTGGCTCGAGTGTGCTCTCCAAATCCTTGACAAAAATTGCATCGATAGGTCTGTGTTTGCAAATGCCATTGTCAAACTGCTTGTTATGGGTCGTGGCAAGGGCCGTAATATTTACATTACTGGCCCCGCCAACTGTGGCAAGACTTTCATCTTAGACCCCCTTAGAGTGGTGTACGATAGCTTTCTGTCCCCAGCTACTTGCTCGTATGCATGGCTTGGAGTTGAGAACAAGGAGGTTATATTCCTCAACGATTTTCGTTGGTCTCCCGTTATGCTTCCTTGGGCTGACATGCTGCTGTTGCTTGAAGGCCATGTGGTACATTTTGCTGCACCCAAAACCAACTACAGCAAGGACATCGAGTTCACGAGGGACACTCCAGTGTTTGCTACTGCCAAGGCCCCCATCTCCTTTATCAAAGGCTCGGTAATGGATGATCGTGAAACAGAAATGATGTCTGTTCGCTGGCGCATATTTACGTTCAGGCATCAGTTTTCTTTGGAAGAGCAGAAGACAGTCTCCCCATGTGGCCATTGTTTTGCAAAAATTCTCTTGGAATAACAATGATTTCCAGACGCTCCTTCCTAGAGAAGCTGCCCCGTACAAAGCGAAATGGTACTCGGGCAGCCAAACGACAACGGTTTACCATTGCATTTCCCCCTTGAATTTCTTGTTTATATGACAGTTTTAAAATAATTCCCCGAAAAAAGTGGTACACTATGATGTACATTCTAAAGACAAAAAAAACCATTCTCGCGTTTGCCTATTCGAGTGTAATTGAAAGAAATCACCACGGTTTACCATTTTCCATCTAAGAACAGGAACAGTTAAGATTCATTTTTTTCAAAAATGGTAACCGTGAACATTTTTGGCTAAATCTCAAAATTTATCAATCCAGTTTCGTAGAAACTTATCAGCCTTGTGGTACGTTGTAATGTACCTCCTTTGCGGAAACTACCGAAATATACCTGCAACCTGTTATTTTTTATAAGCTTTTTTAAAATGGTAAACCGTGATGGTAAACCGTGGCCAAGAGCATTTTTCCAATCCAATTCAACTCTATCACTTTTTATTACGTAAGCAATGGACGTTATCCAGAACTTTGAACAACAATACTAATTAGTCAGTTATAAAGGGCTTTTTGAAAATTTTTGCTGATAAACAATAAGCAATAAATTCAGATGAACTGCTAGTATGAGTATTTTAAAATAATCTTCAAACACGCAGCTTACGGAGGAGCTGCCAAACACTACAGAGAAACAAATCCATAGAGAACAAAAGCAATTTCAAAGCTGCAGTTCAAATTTTATGATACATAAGTTAGAAACTTTCATACAAAAAAACACTTTTAAGTTTTTTTGAATTAGTATTTAGTTCTATATCCATCATTTATGGCTAGAGTGCTCAAACGATCATGCATGCTTCGAATAGTTCTATCTATAACAGTTACATCAAAGTCACTAAATGCCTGCAAAACTCTTCCTTTAAAAGTCTGAAAGTCCTCTTTCACGATTTTTCCTCTCAACGCCTCCTGTCGCAAATTACATTTTATAATATTAAATAAATTTTCAATAGGATTCAAGTCCGGTGATCTTGCTGGTATCTCAACAAGTTCAGCACCCACTTCTTCTAAAGCATCGCTTGCCAATTTGCTCCTTTGACTGGGGTCATTGTCCATAACGAATAACAGTTTTTCCTTCTTTTTCATCGCTGCACATTCTCTGAGAGTGCTGTCCAATGTCTCATGCACAAATTTTGCGAACCACCGGGCGTTCATCTTCTCGTACTCCTCCGCAACAACAACCCCTGCCGAATAGGAAACACCAACCAACAAATGTAGTGTACGCCCTCCAGGCAAGTTCTTCGATCCTTTACTTGTAAACACAAGGCCCTCTTTTTTTGTTCTCCACACTCGTCCCCTTGGGCACAAAGCGTCGTTATACGGATTTTGTTTGTGATGGAATGAAACTCCGTCCAGATACATCAAAACATCGTCCGTCCAAAAATTTCTGTCATGTTTCTTTAAAGCATCCCTGGCATATGATACTCTCTTCCTCCTATCCTTAGCTGACAGTATACCCTTCTTTCTAGGATTCAGAAACCTATATCCAGCATCATGCAGAGCTCTTACCAAAGTCCTGTAGCTAACATGTGTGATCTGGCATTCCTTTGCTACATCCATCACTCTGACGTTTCCATTTGTTTCTCGCATCTTCTTGAAAGTCCTAAGAAACCTTGCCTTGTCTCTTTTGCTCATCAGTGGTGGTCTACCTGTCCTCTTATTCTCTTGTTAGTTGAAGGCCCCTCCTTACAAATACGGACCACACTTGAAACAGAAATCTTGCAATGTTCCGCTATTTTTCGAAACGACAAAGACCTTCCCTTTCGCAAGTAGCAAGCCAACGCTCTCTCTCTGTCGCTAATTTTGCTATGAAACACCATGTTTGTTAAAGAGCAACTCAACAACTGCTTTTGATACTATAGTCAATTTCGTTTTTATTTCTTAGCTTATCGTTTAATTATACAACACCGACACAGTGAGAAACAGGAAGGTTTCCGCCATTGACATTCCAAAAATTCTATCTTGGAGACATTTTCACACGTACATGTGCTTTGAACAGCAATTGCAATACTTAATTTTCCTGTTTTTCATCTTTTGTTTTTTCCCTTGCAAGTCTGGTGAATTTTCAATATCTAATTTCGAAAAAACAGAGCAGAATTTGAAGAATTCAAGTAAACAAGTGAATAATAATCATAATATCTCTAAAATTCGAAAAATAGCTAAATTAGGCCAATTCCATTTTAAATATCAAATTTTTTTCGACGCCAATGAAATCAGCGCTACCAAGAACCCCTACCCCCATAACATTGATTTTCATGCAACTAACGGTTTAAAAAAAAGCGCTCAGACAATCCTTGCCAAAAGTCTTGGTACACCAAGCTAAAATTTCGCATAAATTCAGTAGCATCCCCCTCTCCCCCTTGAAACAATGTTGAATAACAACAGTTTCAAAGCTTGAAATTCGTCCAATGTCAGTTTATCAGCTAGGGTAAGTAATAGTCTTTTCAGCCAACATTGTTTTTGGGGGGAGGGGGGATATATCTGTATCTTACAGCCGGAAACCTTTATTTCTTCAAAATCTTTCATTGGTCACAGGGTGTTCCAAGGACTTTTGTCAAGGATTGTCTGACAAATATTTTTGAAGCAGTGCATTTGAGATCAAGCAATTAGTTCCAATCTGAGGTTTTCCATGCCGCTGATTTCAGTGGTGGTGTTTTTTTTTCAATATCTAGTCCACTTCATAACATAATTGTCTATCTACTCTAAAAATATTGGTTTCATACGTAAAATAAAGCAAAATTAGAAATTATTTGTATTCTGAAAATTTGTTGCATCTACCTAAAGAAGGGAGGTCACTTTTTGAAACCGAGGCCAATTTGGTTGACGGTTGAGGGAGTAAAAGTTGAAATTCTTTAATTATGATTACATATGTCTTCAGATAGTCAAAATGGCTAACTCCAGTAGCAACGCAGATCCTCAAAAAATTGGGGCAGAGACGTAA